TTTTTTTTAATATATTTAATAGTGCTGGCAGTGGTCGTCTGTTCTCAGGCGTGGTAATTGATACAAAATAAAATGCATTATTTGTATTCAGTCAGGAGTATGAAATTGCATTCAGCGGGCTGAAGCCTGAACTCATTTACAGTTTTCCGAAGCCGGGCTTTCAGGAGCCCTCTTTTCAATTTGAAGAATACCTTGTCAGGCAAGAGAAGTAGTGGGAAATGGGAAAGCACAGTGTGTAAGCCTAGCGCCTTTTGATTGCTCATATTTTAAACTGGGAGAATGTTAAATAACTTCCATCTTCAAAGGGTGGTCTCCGAAACCGGGAATATGGGGCATCAATACACCAACAGTATCAGCGCGGCACCCGTTTACAAGCGACTTGTGTTTCTTTTCTGGTTGAGGGGGAGGGATACTTCAGAGCCGTTTGACCCAAGGACGGCAGGTTATTACCTGGAGAGGGCTACGGATCATGAGGATTTACCATAGGAGGTTAATTCTTCAGCTCTCCGACGCAAGTAGTCGAACCGTATGTTCCTCATTTTTCAGAGCTCACGAGCAGGTTTTGTTGGTGCAATTTATAGCCTAGAAATTAGACTAAGCTGGAGCGAGTGTACAGATCTACCTTAACGTTTTGTAACAAGGATCCTGCTTTAAAATATATTCTGTGGTTTTGTGTCAGGGGGTGATTTCTTCACCATTTTACGGGTCTGCGACATCGTGGTTGACGCTGGAGCCGCACGTGGCGATGAACGTATCCCTCATACGCCTGCCTTGGGGACCAGAGCGCTTCGGCACGTGTCTCAACATCGCGAGTATTTGGAAACAAGCTTTTTGAGAGGCGTGGGGAGAGGGTGGTAGAGTTGGTTTTTCTGGGATTTTTTTTTTTTTCCTCTCCTTGAGTGAAATGGGATAATTCTTTCTGAAATGAAAGCTGAGAATGAAGCCTGTCCATGTGCCACTCGCCTTGTATTTTTTGAGGAGAAAAGGTGAAGCATTTTGAGAAATTGTGTTAGATGTGAGCGAGCCTTTATGTCTGGTGTGCTCTCTGGGATTTTTTCCATGATATTTATGAATTTTCTGAATTTTTGCAAAGAAATTAAAATCAGTGAGGTACATTTTTGGTGGCCCGTGGCAGACCTTGCCACCACAGCCAGGCCTCTTCCTTGCCAGTGCCTGGCTCTGCGGCAGGCCTGTCTCTACACAGCAATTTTCATGTTATTGCTGCAAAAGAAGGGATTTTTTTATGTGGGGTTTTTTTTTCTTCTTTTTTTTAAGTACCCGACGTATGAAACCTTCTCAAGTCTCAAACTGGAGGTCAATATTTAGGACTAGCAGTAACCAACTTGCGTCTGCGGTTGTGCCTTTGTGTAGCTGGCATCCTCTTTGGCATCTTCTCTTCTTTCAGCGTCAAGGAGCCAAAGGTGTCTGTGTCTCCTTTGCCAAGAGCATGCTGAGCACTGGCATGGGTTCTCGTCTCTTGCTGGAAAGGCAGCAAACCCTTTGCAGCAATAGCTGTTTTGAGCATTTATGAGTCAAATACTTAAAATCTCTTATATAGGTGTAGAGAAATACATTCCCATAATTCCCTTTTGTGGTTAAATACTTGATGATTGGTTTCAAAATAGTGGACGTAGGGAAAAAGAACAAAAACCCTTAATATGAAGCTTATGCGTGATTTGGTCTCTATTGCCAGGCAATTAGCTGCCTAATTTATCTCCCACTAATAACTTGCAGCGCCACTGTGCTTAGCGGGTAATTATAAGTAAACTTTACTAGAAAATAATAATAAAAAAAAGTGTTTCTTTGTCAACTAGGCAGTTGTATGGGGATTTAACTACTCAAAAAATCAAAAGCTGCTTTTTAAATAGTCTTTGGCTTGATATTTTTCTGACATAATTCGTCTTAAGCACAATCCTGTTCTTGCACTTAAGTGCAATATGGTATCTAACCAAGGTTCTGGAAACAGCTTCACTTTACGTGATAGCAAGCACTTTACTTAAAGTGTAGGATGTTACGTTAAATTTGATCATGAAAAACAAAACCAAACCAACAAAATAGGAATGCATTTAGCACTAATCATAGTCAAAAGATTGGTTGCAATTAAACTAAAATTGTATTACCGACCTTGGGGAAAAATGTTGGATTAAGGTTACTTGAGTATTTGCTATGTGAAAGGACCCAGATGGGGAGTGAAATTTCACGGATGTCTTCGTTTCCTAAACTTGTGTTAAACATGGCTGTTAGATGTTTCTTGACTGAAAACGAGAACAACTACTCAAAAGAGAAGGAGTTCTTGTATTACCAACCATTACATGGACCAGAGAAGAGACTGTGGGTCTCTGCTGCCAAGAGAGAGGTGTCATCAACCTTTAATTTTGATTTGGTTGAGCACGCAAATTGGTGGGGGAGGGCAGAAAATGACTCGGTGTCATTAGTTCTTAAAATTGTTGCATGTTATGCAATCATAACTAATGGAGTGGGAAACTAAACACACTAAATGTGGGATTCTTTTTTTCATTGGGAGCAGGTAGTAAGTGGCCCCTTACCACACAATATTAATTGTACCAGGCATACGTTAGTTACCTTATTTTCCCACCTTTACTGCCGTTACCACCTTCTCTATGTGTGTCTGTCTCTAATACTAATGAAAGCAGATCGCGTTTGGAGGATGTTGGGGTATGTCTGTTCCGTTATGTATTAAAATGTCCTAGCGTTACACAAGTTAATTTGAGGATCGGTAAGATCTTTGTAAGAAAGAGCAATTGGATCTAATAAAGTGATTTCCCATTGTTTTTTTGTCAGTTCCAGCTGGCCTGCTTCTAAAATTGATAGAGTCTCCTGTTGATTTAATAGGACTTGAATCAGAACTTCAGCCAAGTTACTTCTTTTGGTACCTTTTTGAAAAAGTAATGGATGTTGTAGAAGACTCTCCTGTAGCCTTTGGAAGTCAATGAGCTCAAGAAGTTAGCTGCTAACAGACAGCAAGAGGTTATATCTTGGATTCTAGCAATCATTAATTTAAAGTATGCAGTATTCTCATTTTTCCATCTTTTTTTCCCCAAACTGCAGATACTGGGTTAGGAGATTCTGTGTGTTCAAGCCCAAGTATATCCAGTACAACGAGTCCCAAACTTGATCCACCTCCTTCACCTCACGCCAACAGAAAGAAACATCGCAGGAAGAAAAGCACGAGCAATTTCAAGGCTGATGGTATCTCGGGCACAGCTGAAGGTAAGCTTAGTCTGTGGTGAAGTCTGGCTTTTGAAAATACCATTCCAAAGAGCATTGTTAAGTACAACTCAGCTACAGCGTTGGCTTTGTGTACAAGGTAAAGAAAATTGTACTGAAGTAGAGAAATTAAAGACTGATCTTGTAATCATGAAGCTGTGAATAATCTGAGGCATCACGACAGTGAATTCGACTGTCTGAAACTTGTTTGGAACCAATTTTTTTAATTAAAAGAAAGGTGTCCCCAAGTTACTATGGAGCATCATAAGCCATAAAGGTAAGGTACAGGCATACTTGTGAAGTTAAAAAGTCAGGTTCACCCAGTAGCCCGTACGTCACATTAGAACTTGTGTATTTTCAGTATTATTATATTCAGTATTAAGTCTCATGTTATTTCTCCTTAGACACATCCTGAGCTCTAGAATCGCAAACACTTCTGATGCCTGTTATTGTTTGAATATTCAGCTGCTCATGGAAAGATGGTGTTATCTGAGGATAAAAAGGGAAAAGGGGAGAGTTTAAGTGTTTGGGTTCTTTTTTAAGAACCAGAAGGGAAAAGCCAAAAAGAACTTCTTTTTTCCCTTAGTTAGCTTACTATTTCCAACACGAACACTGCTATAGCTGTTCAATGCCCTTCTGAAGGGGTAACAATGTGTATGGTAGCCAGATACGATATAAAACATGCTTGTATCTTTAGAAAAGAAGAAAAGAAACATGCTAGGATTCAACCAAAAGAGCTCCAGAAAAAAGATGAACAAGGATAGTTGGAAGGCTCAGAAACTGGGGAGTCAACATATAAGGAGAGATGAAAAACGGAGACAATGGAATAACATTGTCAGGAAAGGGGAGTGTTGGGTAAGAAAAAGATGCAGTTGTAAGCATCGGAGAGTAAAAAACAGCTAATTCAGTATCAAAGAGCATTGGAACAAGTTCTGAAAAAAGGATGACAATTGCAGACAGCTGAGGAGACATTAAAAATAGATGTGATAATAGTATACAACTGAGAAGGGGCATGTTAACTACTACTTAGTCATCCTTATTTTCCATTTATTTAATTTCTCAATTGCACTTCTATCACATACGGGATTTATTTCCCCAGCTATCTATACAAATCCTTTTTTAAAAGCCATCAGCTTTTTTTTCATAATAGCTCCTGTTGCGTTCTGTTTCCAGTCATTTAGCTATCTTTACTGTTAGTTTCCCCCTAGTTTATGGCCTGAAGCCAAATTTTATTTTAACCTTTCATTTTTAATTTGTCGTCTTTTTTTTTTTTTTTTTAACAATCCCTTTTCCACCACTTATTTTCATACCTCAATGGCAAGTTAGAGAGGGGATTTTTTCAGAGCACTCACCATTGGTCCAAGACTATTTTGTTGAAGTCGGTATGAATCAAGACCAGCTGGATATCAAGAGCCTTTGAAAATCTCTTTCTAAGTAGCTAATACGTGTATGTTTTCTTTCTCCTGGGGAGATTATTTTCACAAGTCACTGGAGCTGGAGCCTGTGTGGTCCTGGTCTGCAGCTGCAGACTTCTGACCTGCAGCGAGCAATGGGGCATTTTTGTTGTGCATCTCACCCCCAGAGTCCCTGTTCTGATTGGAATGGGGAGTACGTGCTCCTTCATCCTTTTCTCTTTTCTCTTGGTCTTCTCCTTGTCTTCCAGCATCGTAACATGCTAGTCTGAAATCCTTTTGTGATAACTCAACAAAATTGTGCCCTCTCATATAAATGGGATAAATGTGCTTCCAGAAGGGCAAGAACTGGCTGGCAAGCAGCACCAAGTGATACGCAGGGAGCCTTAAAAGCAGTAGTGGGTGCCAACACTTGCGTTTGCAGTCTTTGTAGCTCTACATTAGCCCATCAGCTTTCTTTGACCTCCTGCTTCTTACGTGTCTTCTGAGATGGGCACTGTTTTCTGGCTTGGGGCTCATAGTTGTCTCTTGGGTGGGCCAGTTAAAGTCTTTATTTTTATAATATGTCTTTTAAAGCACAACCCAGTGAAAAACAGCTATTGGCCCCAAGAACAGAATTGCCGCTTTCTACATAGCGTTCTTGCCGTGTGAGAGGACCTCTGGGCGTCCTTCAGCAGATAACTAATCTTCCTGGCCCTTGAATCCTTAGCAAGATTGGGAGGAGATGCCAGACAGGACAGTCAGCCTCGTCTGTTAGCGGTAGCTGAAGGAGAAAGTAATGAAGTGTGCTCGAGTTCCCTGTCCTCCTAGAAGGGCATCTCCGAAAAGGTAATAATGATTGTAGGTGCCCATGAAGTACTTTCTAGCAAGACTAACAAAGGCTGGAGGTTGCTTTTTCCAAATCCTGGCATGTGAGCACTTGTAACTTTCGTCTGTATTTTCTGGTACTCGTGTTGGTGCAAGCCAGAAGTTAAGTTTGGTGTGATTTATGGTTGACCAGACAAGTGGTGTTCATCCCTCTGAGCTTGCTGTGATGCCGAATGATGGCAGTAACTCCAGTCCTGAGACAACCTGTGCCACAAACCAGTCTGCCGCTAGTGAGATGCGTGTCTGAGGCGCTTCAGGCTCTTGAGGGTTTTTCTCTAAGTAGTTGAATGTAGCGTTTTCACATCTGTCTTGCAATTCAAAGCAGTTTTCAGTTCAGTAATTCAGCCTTTCCTCGGGAAAAGGCTTATTTCCTTGTTCTCCAGTGCTTGGCTACAAGTCTGTCCAATGACCTAGAAGATTTCCTTTTTGATTTTTTTCTTCCTTCACGCTTACCGTAAGCGTAGGTTTAAACCCTCAGAGGATTACTGCAGTTTTGAAGACCACATATCTAAATTAAAGAGTAAAAGGAAGATGTTCTGAGAGATACATGCTTTGCCTTGGCAACTTTGATCAAGTGTTTGAGATACAGCAGGTGACTTAACTGAAAATGGGCTACAGAAGACTGTGGTGATAATCATGGGAGAACCATATCTTCCTTCCTTCTGGAAATCCTGAGCTCATTGGGGGGAGGAGGAGGAGGATCCTCCTGCAGTAGCTATTCTCAGACAATTACGATGGATCAGAGTTAAATGATTTGGGTAATTCTGGATTTCATGTTGCCTTCCTTTGGGTTTAGGCGTGTTTCAAGTGTCAGCTTTCAAGCAGAAATTCTGTGTTCCTTCATTTTTGCCTGTAGCAAAGCTTAGGTGTTCAATGAAGTTTAAATCTGGTCTTCAGCAAATTCTAGCATTTTTACTGCAGGTTGCGGTCTTTTTTTTCTTTTTTTTTTTTTTTTTTTCTGCTTGAACATGCCTGCTTTGATCATTGACCTCTGCCCATGTATTCAGATATCACGATGATGGACACTAGTGAGCCCAGGGTGAGTCACTAATTCCGAGGACTGATGCTCATCTCTTTTATGCCCTTCCATAAAGGTCATGCCAATTCTTCTCTGTCCACACTATCTGCACATGCCCAGCCCTCTCTTTCTGGGATTGATTCTTTCATCTTACTTGGTTTATCTTTCTACGGGTTTTCTGAAACAATGGTCATAGCAATAAAAATACTAAAGCAACTGTGCTGCAGTTGGGTGAAAATTAAAAATCAATTCATGTTTTGGAAAACCAGATTCTTGGGAAATTTTTCCAGTGCAATGAAACCCAGAGAGAAACTTTTTCGTTCTGTGTACAGAACTTGTCACTGAAAAAAATTTCCCAGTGTTTTTTGAGGGTAACAGCAG